CGGGACCGGTTACCGCCGGTTTTTGTCGCGATTAGGCCCGGTAGGGACCGGTTAATGCCCGGCCCGGGACCGAATTTTGGCCACCTCTACTATAGAGTATGTAGCAAGATGTAAGTAATGCTTCTGCCTAAAATCCAGAACTTAATTTGGAATATATCATGGAATTTATCATCTCCATCAAGGTACGATTCTTTCTCTCTGCAATACCGTTTTGTTGCGGTGTACACAGAGCTACCACTTGATGAATATTTCATGTAGATTCAAAATATCTAGGATTATAGTATTCACCACTCATATCCGTCCTTAAATATTTTATCTTCGTTTCACATTTAAGTTCTACTTCATTTTTTTTAGATCTTAAATTTTTCAAGGACTTCATCTGTTGAGTGTAAACAACGATGTGACTTTCAAAGTTACCTTCCCTTTTTCCTGTAACTTGAGCAATAGTGTGATTTCCCATGTAAAGTACGGAGGTTGAAGTTTCGTATTTTTGAACATGTCAATGTTGTTCAAATGAAAATGCCTCGGAAATCATAGCAACAAAGTTGTTCTTGGAATTGCTATTCTTGATGTTGTTACCATCATTTCTTTTCCTATTTTTGAGAAGACGACAATCACGTTTGTAATTTTCCGTCTTATTGCAATTGAAACAAATCACATGTTTCATATTCCTCTTTCACTTATTTCGATCTCCATCGTGAGGTTCCCTTTTCTTAGCACCAAATTTTGAAGTGTCTTGTTTTTCTTCTACCACGTAAACTTTGGAAGCATCTTTATTGGATTTATTTTTCAACCGATATTGTTCTTCAACTAAAAGATGATTTTCAAGTTCTTTTAAGAACATATCGTCCTCACGATGTTTAAGACTTTTCTTAGCATCTTTCCAAGAATAACAGAGTTTATCGATGATCGATGCCATTTCGATTGATTCGTCTCTTTTCATATCGTGCTGTGTGAACATGCTAAGAATGTGCTCAAGTTTCATACATTTGATCCATAGTAGGGCGAGAATCTACCATCTTATTTTGGTAAACATCGAACAGAGGATCAGACATAACATTGAGGATGTGATCGCGACATATGAAATCATCGTTTTTAAACTTGAGAAGTTCATGGGCCGATGCAAGATTCTCATCCTCGAGAGGTTCTGGATATGGTTTGGTAAGGACATACGAAACATTGAAGGTAGCCGATAAGAATTGCATCTTGTTTTGTCACCTTTTAAAACCTCCACCGTTAAAGCGTTACGGTTTAACGATGTCGCACAACATTTATTGCGGATTCTTGGTTGCCATCTTTTCTTGGAAATTGCTTTAAGACTGTTGTTTTTAAGGTACTAAAATAAAGGCTAAAATCGATAAGAAAATCTACTACTTATTGTTTTCAAGGCTAGTAAACTTTATACCCTTAAAGCAATTTCGCCCCCACCGTAGGTGCTTTGGAATTTGATGATTGTCTCTCAAGATACAATAAAACAACGTTTGTAGATCGATTATCAACACCACACAAGTGGTCATAATTCTGTTAAACTATTGAGTAATCAAGGATTTCAAGAAGCCTAAAAAGTGTGAATCTATAGTAAGACACTCTTAGGGTAGTCTAGTATGAAAAATATGCATTTTTGGTGTTTATTGGTAGGTATATATATGTATAAATAACAACCCTTTTCAAATTGTCACAGATTGACAAATTGCACAATTTTCATCTTTCATGATGGTTCGCAATTGTTCGAACAGGCACTCATTGTTACTATTGTGACGCTTCAAAACCTCACAACTGTTCAAGTTGATGCGTATTGACAATTGAACCATCACAATGATTCATTAGGCATATAATGTCACATATATTGCCATTTTAAACCGTCACACCCTTTTGGTGTTGTTATTAGACTCCTGTCAACAAACTTTAATAAAGACAAAATTCATTTATTTAAGAAAAATGAAAAAAAAAAAAACACAAACTATTGAGGTTTCCTCCAGCAAATTTGGTTTGAGGATTATAATATTATTAAATATAGATTTTGTAGATAATTAATATATATATAGGTGTCATAATCCTATTGGTTGGTTTAGATTTTATTAGGATAAAACTTATTTGATTAAAAAGATAACTTTACTAAAAAAATTAAAAAATATACCAAAATTCATATTTTTCAATTCCCTACTGATAGAGACCAATATTGACGTATTTTAAACACACCAATCTTTCTCTTCATTTCAATACTTCCATCCTCTTGAAAATTCCAAAGATCTTGAAATTTTTTTCAAGTTTCCTCTATGGATCCAAACCAGCAAAATTTTTTGTTTAAGTCTCAACATTCTGATCTCTCAATATATCCCTAAAAATGTTCAAACCTCGCAAAAAGCCTCAAAAGTCGACTATCCATCGAAGACTGAAGAAGATATGGCTTTAATGTCAACTAACTAAAGGGAGAACGCCTCAAGACTTGGTATATACACGAATGGGACATGGGATGTCTCATGGTGTCTCACTTTTATGCCAAATTAAGGTTTAGTATATCCAAACTACCTGTTACGGCCAAACAGACCCAAGTTTTTTGTTGACAGGTGCAGGCTTAAGGTATGTCAAATGCCCGTAAAGTCACAATTCGATGTTGTAAAAAAGTCGATGTGGTTTGATCAGAGAAAGCCATGTGTGACGATTTAAAGAATAAAATACATTTCTTTAAATGGAATCGGCCTTTTGAGCAAGACACAAGACTCGTGTTAGATGTAGCCAGAAGAGTTTTTAACCGAATTCCACCGTCTGAGTTTTTTAAAGTTCTTTTTGTTAATTTCAGGGGATCCTTCAAATTTTTAGTTGATTTAGAGGAAACTTTTTCAATTCTTTGTTGATTTAAGACTTCTTTGGTCCATATCCCTAGTATTTTCTAATATCCTCTAGTACCCTTATTCCCAATAAGACGGCTCGGTAACAGATCGCTTCTTCCAAAGCGCGCCCCATTCGTTCCGCTCGCAACAATCCAATTAATTCTCCGGGCGAAAAAACATTAGACATTTCGTCTTCTGAAACCAACACTTTTGATGTTATTTGACGTACAATAATTTCTATATGCCTATTATGTATCTGCACCCCCTGGGATCGATAAACCTTTTGGACCTTATTAACCAAAGAGATACGACTTTGCACTATAGTTAGCTCAGCACCAATCAAAAATGCCCAAGGAATTCCAAGAATTCCTTCAAAGTTTAGCAAGTGCATCTTTCATATCACAAAAATAATTCTTGCAAAAGTCGGTTCAACAGGCGCACGAGCCCCACCCCTGGTGGGACCTTCATAGGTCCGCCCCTACATCAAGGGTTCAAACCTAGATAAAGGTGAGGAATGTATCTAAGTTATTTGTCGCATATATTATATACTTCCAATATTGTAACATATTTCTTTGCAAAATAATAAGTTGCAGAAGTTACATTGCTTAACAGTAGATGAACTTATGTTGTTACAAATTATACCTACATATAAATATCCTTTTATCTCAGCTAACAATATTTCTTTTTAACAACCTTTCTGCCGTCTTATTATTTGTCAAGAATAACTATACGCTATCCTCGTGTTGAAATCACAAAATTATCAAATCGAGATTTTGTACTCGACTGGTGGTACATAATCAAAATTTTACCGTTCAATGCTACATTTCACGTATCTATATGGCTTCACTCCTTCGGCCGTTTGCTCATTGTTTTACGCTTGTTGGCATCCAAGTATCTTTTTCTTAACCGGATATTATGAGGCGTAACCTGTACCATGGGTAAATCGTTATTCATCAAATTGACTTCATAATAAACCAAAACAAATAAACACGGTATATCCCACACAAAGGTAGGGGTATGGTGGTACGATGTAAGCAAACCTTGTCTCTACCCCACACAGAGATAGAGAGGTTGTTTCTCTGGAGACCCCACCTTTACACTTCAACCCTTATTTATAGGAACAAGTACGGTGAACAATGAACAAAAAAAGTAAGGTGATCAATAGGAGATATTGAAGACGGAAATTTTCTAAGGGTATGTATTATTTGAGGATTTAAAAGAATATAGAGATGCTACCAACTGATAAATGGCTAATGCAACTATCATCATCCCAACATCACGCAGCTTTACAGTGAGAGATTGAATCCATATATGTAGAAGCTTAACTTTCTCTTATGGGAGGAGTTGAAAAAAATAACTGAAGGACTTGTACAGTTGAAAAAAAACCAAACCAAACCGAACACACCCAGTATGTTCCACTAGGAAGTAGGGTCCACGAAGGGGTAAGACCCTCGGCTTACAGAAAAAAAAAAAAGAAGTTTGCAAAAAGATTCTGGTGGAGCACCGAGTGTATCATCAAGTTTGTCGAAAACAATTGGAAGAAAATGAAAAGTAGGGAGGCACTTGAGACCAAAAGGTAAATTACAAAGAGTTTTGTACAATTAGATTGAAAGATGTTAAACTAACCTCAATTAGCTCATCAGAAGCGACATACCCTATAGCTTCTTCAAGGGTCATCTGCATAAAAAAGAACACCATATAAATTTTTATATCCACAAAAAATACAGACAAACAAAACCCAGAGTGAATTTGTAACGTCTACAAGTATGCTCAAAACTAACACTTGCAATAACATTAAATGACAAGGCAAAATTCTAGGAGATGATCAATGAAGATGGTGTTTAATGCTTATATGCAATCAAGTAGCATCTCTTAGCCCAAAGTTTCCAGTTGATATTTGGGTCAACTTTTAGCTATAATGTTAAAGTTGTAGTTTGATACAGGATTCTGCAAGACGAAGGATTCCAATCCCACATGTTGGATAAAATCAAGATAAGATTAGATGTTAAGAGATTTCAGCATGGACTAACCATGAAGCCCAGGCCTAGGTTGCAGTAGAAAAACAAATGAAAAAAATAAGCCATTGCAAAACTTTGACATACTCGATAACCAAGTAGGAGGAAGCCACAAATTAGTCATGAATTGCCATGATTTAGAAGTATGTTATGGACTCTAGAAATAAAATAATATAAAGAGTTAATTGTGCCAAAGATATCCAAGGAATCTCCCCTTCAGAAAGAGGAAAATAAAGCACTCCCAAGTGCCTTAAGTTTTCGTGACATTTTTGTGGATCCTCTAGTGGAAAATAACTGGTAACATAACATCATAATAAGTAACTTATCGCCAAGGGTTTATGGTCAAAACAACCTACAGTAGAACAGGGTTTGCAAATGTAAAACATGGGTTTGAAAAATACCAATGAAACATAAAGGCCTAAGTTGTTGGTCTCTGTTGGGGTGTTTGGATGTGCGCTATTAAATATGGGTATGTTTTAAACAACTTAATTATATGGTTTGCTGAATTTGGCAATGATGACCATTAGTTCTCTTGAACTTACACGATGAAAGATTCTGTCGTCTGATAAGATCACTAAAAACTTGTTTGACAGAGTTGTTGGTTTCCAAATCTCATAAAATTCAGGATGGTGGAAAAAGAACACGAAGGAGTAAAAGACGAAAATATTTGACAAATATCGAAGAAGAATTGGCTTTCGAGGTTGCCTCTTGACCTGAGTGGGGGAATGACAAAGACAATAGGAATTGTTCAAATCAAAAGATACTGTTAGCTATAAACAGAACCTTAATGTTTACTGGTTTACTACTGTTCTCATTTATGAATGAGCCCAGAAACTACCACATGCCTAAAGTGACTGAACGACTCCTGAAGAAGGTCATTTATCGGCAGTTTTAACTTTAACATGAAGACCTATAAAAATCAGCCACTGCTTTCCAGTGTCAAAAACAAAAAAAAAATAGTTGGACAATAAAGGCAATATATGGATACTTTGGCACATTTAAGTCAACAAACTAAAAAGTACCAAAACCAAGATTAAACAAAATGGGTGAATGAGACGTACTCTGCGGGGAGGAGACAGCTTCACATTCTCATCCTTTCCAGCAGATCTTATATTTGTAAGTTCCTTGTTTCGTACAGGGTTAACCTGTGACAAAGTTTCTTGTTAATTGCCCAAAAACAATGTGAAATTTTATAATATTATGAAAAAGAACATACATCAAGATCCGTATCTCGTGAGTGTTCACCAACGATCATGCCATCATATGCCTGCATCATATTTGGTAAGCATTAATAAAAGGGTTTTGCATCAAAAGAAGTTCTGCCTACCACAGCTATCAGACAGGTTAATTATACTAGGTCCTAACTCCCAGTTTTCAATGACTGTAAATGTAATTAAGGTGCGCTTGGTATGCAAACAGGACTGGACAAGAACGGATGGGCTAGAATTAAGTAGGCGGGTGAAAGAATTATGGAAGATTCTGGGGTTTTAATTTGACATGAGTAGTTTAGAAATTTATTGATTCTGTCCCATCTCCCTGATTTTTGTTCCACCTATATTGGTGGGACAAAAAAAGCATTCTTGTTCCACTCAGTCATGCCCTGTCCCAGTCTAATGTTGCACCAAACTTGGACAACAAGTTTTTGTTCTGTCCTCATCCCACCTGTCCCACGTACTAAATGCACCATTAATATCAATATAGGCAGAACCTTCTAGTAGCACAACAGAAAATTCGAGTTTGTGATTACCTCTACCCCAGGACTCACAAAAAGTGTTCCACGTGGTTCCAAACTCATCAACGCATATGATGTGGTTGTTCCACGAGCACATGATACCTGTCCAATGCACAAAATCATCATGATGAGCTCCTCCAATTCACTTTCCATTCATCCTAACTTGTAAATCGAATTATTGCATTTGTCAAGAGCAGAACAAACAAATTCAAAATACGATACTAAAAGCTTCACAACATGCATTTAAAACGGCCTCTTATTTGTAATTCTGTACTGTTAATAATCAGCTTTCAAAAAAGGCTAAAAAGGAACTGATGACATATTATATTAGTTCTAAGTTGCTTCATCATGTTCACAACAACTCTGCTCAAAAACTTATGACAAGCTCCAGTGCTTAAAAACTATCGTCAATCAAATAAGCCTATAAATTTAGAAGCCAAAAATCCCAGCAAGATAACTTTCAAGGTTGCTTAAAAGTGAAATTTTAGTTGTACAAATGTTAGTCCTATTCCATGATAGTTTTTGATCAAAAAGAGTAATGTTAGAAAGAAGTAATCAGGCAATGTTTCCGGTAACAAAAATATGTGAAAATTATCACACCTGTTAGTATCAACAATGTATTTACTCCTGGGTGCTCAAATTTGAAAAATAAGAACTACTAGATGGTTTCAACTTGGAGTAACTTGAGGGAATTTAATATTTCGGTAGGAATGAGTTTGAAAGGACCATGTCACTACTTTATACGAAATGTTACAATGACACCTTAGCTTTTACCATAGACGGTTATGATACTCAGAATTTTTCTACAGCCTACTTTATATTTATTTTTAGATTAAAGCTGACTCATTATAAGGTATAAATATAATTATACACAAGCAGTAAAATTTCAATTATAAAACATATAACCACTGGTTATTAGCCATTAAGTCAAGGTTATCAAATTTAGGCCTCTGTGTATGCAGAGTCACTGGTTAAATTGCTACTTTAATCTTATGTCCAATTAATAAAGATCAAGACACCTCCAATAAACTATTAAGTGGACTATCAAAACAAGATTGATAAATTTACCTATATCATCTTTTTGTAAGAATTCTAGAATATCACAATTAAATTCATCGTTATAATAAATTTTATAAAAGTCCACATAAATATAAATGAGACACAAATGAAAATGAGTTGGTAGTCGCTCCCAGATGCAAAATAAAAGCCAACGATGAACATATTCAGACATTACTCATTCAGATGACACCATTTACAGCTACATTACTTTACAGAATAGAGTAACAAGTGATATTACCAGCACTCCTTTTCTGACGTTCCCAAGAGGACCCCGATACTTTTCATAAGCTGTAAAAACATGGTTAACAAAACAGAAGCACTGATTCAGCAACTAAAAAGCAAAAAAGCTATGCATAACTTCAGCTTTGGACTAAAACACAATTCAAGGTTTGCACACTACAATTGCTAGATTATTGTTATTTATGTGACCAGTTTGTCTGCATAACTTCAAGTTTTGGACCTAAATGTGTTAAAGCTTGTGTTAAAGCTGGATGAAAGATCGATGCCAACTATAAGCTTAGAAAGATGTTGAGATGAAATTTCTTTTAAACAATTATTAGCTCTCCCAGACTCAAACTACTTCAACTTGTATCGTTATGTAATCCTGAAAGAGACTACAAATGTCGAGATTCATATTCATCAGAAAGAAATTAAAAAGTGAGCATACCCATGAATGCACGGTGCATAAATCCTGTGCCACGGGTATCACTGCTGAACACACTTCTGTAACCAACCAGTCCCCTGAAGTGTAAAACAGAAAACTAGATAAAAATTACATACATATAGTGTTCCATGCAAGTGAATTCTTTCATCAGAAATCAGATTCTGACTTCCTTTGTTTTAAATTTTATATATAGAGTTTCCATGCAAGTGAATTCTTTCA